CCCCATCGCCCCCCTTTTAACAGGGGCGTCCCTTTCTCCCCCCCGACAAAGTAAAAAAAGCAAGAGGTGCACTCGGAGGTGTATCTCCCGTGTATCTTCCCCAGCTCCCCCCCGTGTATCTTGCCCTCGGCTCATTTCGAAGCATGAAGCTGAAATGGTGGGAGTAATTGGTGGGTGGAAGATCCTAAACCAACGGGAAATGTATGGGCTCGACGACCTCTGGATAACCCGGGTACCTTGGCACAAAAAGTGCAAAAATATTTACTCGTCTTGAAGTTTCTATTTTTTTTTAAAGCTTTTTTATTTATTTTGTTTTTATTCCTTAAGTCATCTTTTGAGATGGTTCAAGCTCCCATCCGAGGTCTAATTATAGTAAGCAGGAAGGGGATGGAAGGGGAATGGGTTGATTTCGGGGGGGAAACGGGAGGGCAAAAACCAAAACACCCTAAACCCCCCTACTGGGAAAGGGCTGGACAAAAAGGCTTTCTGTGACTCAACGCACACTCTGAAATGAAGATCTGAAAAACGCTTACAAGCTCCCTCTGACTGGCTTGAAAGCGATTCCAGCAATTAGGAATTAATTCGGCATGGTCAAAAGGCGATTTCACTGCAAGTTATATCAAGTTATCCAAACTTTTACAGAGTTCAAGTGGTGGAAATGGGCCGCTGGGGTGGAGGTAAGGCTGCAGGAAAGAAAAACAAGGAGTGTTCAGGAAAGACAGGAGAGGGGAAGCCGTGGAGCGAGGGCCAGAGGGATGGCGAGCCCACGGTACCGCCAGAGGTTTGCCGCTGCTGCTGCTGGAGGAGTGGGGAGGAGGGGGACAGGGGATGCATTTTATTTTTCAAATGGGAGAAAGTAGTAAAAACATGCTGGAAGTCCTAGGTAATAGAGAAGTTTTAATTTAAAAAAAGGAAATCATTGGGCTTGCTGGCCGATCTGTGCTTCGTGCGTGCGCGTGACCCCTCCACAGTTAATGGCAGGAGCTAGAGTTAGCCCAGGCAGGGCTGGCCCTGGGGTAATGTGTGGGGTGAGAGGCACTGGGAGGGTGTGGAGGGGGGGGATAAAACCAGGCTTTCACGCACAGGCAGGCCAGCAATAAAACCATGATGGGGAGGGGCGGCCACCCACCCTGGCGGCTCATGGTGCTGCTAGCTGTGGGGTGCACCCCTGGCATGGGTCCTGCGACGCCCACCGGGCCCAGCCGGGACTCAGGCGTTGGGGTTATTCTTCATGAGCTCCACGTCAGCATCCACCATCTCCCTCACCAGCTCCTGCAAGGAGGGAGAGAGGCAGATGAGGCCCCCAGTGCAGGGGACGAACAGGCAGGATGTCGGGAGCGTCCCAGAGCACAAGAAGGTCCCCTAGCCCCCCGCAGCAGGACAAGGAGAGGACGGGGCTTTGCTGGGCTCTTCCTGCAGTGGCCCTGGCCCCAGGGTATGTATCAGGGGTGCCCAGTGCTGCCATGGGGGCTGCTGTCTTCAAAGGAAGAATCTGGGCAGGGTCAGCTGCATTTCTTGGTGAGCCCAAGACACCCCACATAGAGGTCCCCCTCTCCCTTCCCCTCCCCATGGATTGCTTTTAGAGGATATGGACACCTGGCAGGCACAAAGCACACCAGAAAGGCCACTCACATCAAATGTGACTCTCGGCTTCCAGTTCAGCTTTTGTCTGGCCTTGGTACAGTCCCCTTGCAGAAAATCCTGTGGAAAAGAAGAGAGAGGCATTACGAGAAGCATCCACCTTCCCTACCTCGATGGCCTCCCCATTGCTCGCGCTTCCCCGTGGGCCAAGCGCAGCCCGAGCCGCCGTTGGACTTTTCCGAGGACAAAATATTTCTCTTTAAGATGCAATTCTAGTGGAAGCTCATATGCCTATAAATCACCAGGAGGCAGCATCCTTTCACCAGGCTATTTCAGACCAAAAGAGTTACTCTTTCTTTCCGTGTGTGCGTGGGGTTTGAACGCCAGTATTACGGCTCTATAATGGTGAACGTTTTATAAGAAGTTGTCATATGTCTTAGTCATGCTATTGAGTGAGCTGGTTCAAATTATTTTTTCCCCCATTTGTTTAAATAATGTAAATCACAGAGCAAACATGACAACTATTCTCTTGCAAATAAAAATGTGATCACAGACAGATGATGCTGAAAGACTGTTACGAATATGGGTAACCACATGCGACAGTAGTAAACATCCAGCTTTTGAACGCCTACGTATTTTTTTCTATAGTATTTTGAACATCCACATGGAAAGAAAAATCTTAATATTCTCATAAATGAAATTATCTTGAAAGCGTTACAGAAACCAAGACTTTGGTCATATCCACCTTACTGTTCAAGTATTCTTTAAAGTGCCGTCACAGCAAAACAATCCCACAGCCAGTCACCAAAATAACATTAACAAAATAAACAAAGAAAAAAGCTCCTTTGACTGCATTTCTGACTGAATGAAAAAACTGACTGCATCTTCCTTGCAAATTCGAATACTGTGTTTAGTGAGCTTTTTCCCACTCTATGTGTTGATTTAATAAAATGTATATCATCTCTCACCAGCTTTGTTCCTCGGTAGGCTGTAAATACTAAAACGGTATCTGCCTAGGTTTAAAGAAACCCAAGTACACCCGACTTTGTTACAAAACAACAAGGCTAAGGCTGAATTCTGCTCTTGGGTTTGACTTTATGGTGGTAACACAGCAGGCTTTCCAGAAAAATGCGGGGACTGCCTTTCTTCCACTCGCTGACCAGCGGAGGAGCTAACGAGCATTTTCTGGCTGTACCTTTTTCAACCCTACTGCCCGCACACTACAGTTTTCAGATGCTATCCTTTGTGCATGTGGGGTTCAGGTCATGTTAACTTCCAAAATCACCTCATCCTGTGCAGTAAAGCATAGGAAATTCTTCTTCGTAATCGTGCTCCAGAAAGCTAGACAGCGTGCTTCCAGGAGCAGAGGAAATCCACGGGAGGAAATATTGCACCGAAGAAGGGGATGTGGAGCAAACACGTCTGCCTAGACTATTCCAGGCAGCGTTTTTACTAGTTCAGCCTTTAGTCTAAAAACATTTCAGCCTGCCTTCAGAAAAGAGTAAACAGATGGATCGGAGCAAAACGATATGAAAATAAAAAAGGCCACGATTTCCTTAAATTAGACTAAATGATTTCCTACTGCAGCCCTATAATGGGTTTTTAGAAACTGCAGCAGACATTTGAGGCCAAGTCATGCAAAACCGCATCAACTTGAGGGATCCCCTGGAGGGTCGTGTGAATATGGATTGCAAAATCTGGTTTGAAATGGGAAAGACGCCCACTAACTTTGATAAAATTTGGATCAGACCCTAATGTGCTCGTAGAGGTATGCCTTTTATCTGGAGTTCGGTTTAATTTACATTATATACGTGTGTATATATATGCCTGGAAACAAGGAAATCCTTCTTAAAATAATGATTTGAGTATAAAAACAATTGCCTTTTATTCAGTCCTAATTCAAGCCGCTAGCTAGAAGCGAAGTGTTTTAATACCACCTAGTTTTAAGTCATAAAAGCCGTATCGTAAAACATAAGAGTCTCATTTTTATAAACGCTGTGTAAGTAACAATTTTACTTCCACAATATCGAAAACATCCTTTGAAACTGAGCCTTATCTAGGATACTGGCTTCCCGTTTAAAATAAATGGACCGGGAAGAGCAGAACGAGTTGCCATTGCCTGCTGTATGTGGCTGCATTCTGCTTTTGAACAGCTTGGGAGCAGTCTTTTAACTTTCTTGGACAAATGCTTTTTGTTAAAACAGTTTATCTAAAAAAATACTTTACCTAATTCCAGCCCTTCATTCAAAAACATAAACACTCAACTGCCAAACAGACCAAAGTAAGGTTGGGGGGAGGTTGCAAATCGGTAAAAGTAAAGTTATTTGCATTGCTGGGTGATACAGAGAGATGACTCAAACAACTAGTGTATTAAATCCATCTAAGTGTAAAAAAAAAAGTACTTTTCCTTTAAAAGTTCACATGCTTTAACAATGATGCAGTAAAAGCATTATGGCATAATCTGTGAGCAAAAAAAAAAAAGAGAAAAAAGAAGATTTAATATATATGATAATACAAATTCCCCAGCTGAGTCAGGTTTCAAGATTTTAAATGGCTCTTCTGAAGAAGTTTGTGTACTTTTGAGAAACACTACTCTGTAGAGAGATTTACTTGAAAATAGTGTTATGGACAAAAAATGTCCTAGGCACTTTTTAAAAGGTTCTCTTACAGAAGTTACTAGGTACAGATATCAAATGTAACCAGAACGTTAACGCCACATTACAACTAAATTCAAGGTTTGATTGTATTCTTATTAGTCAAAGTTTCAATGCTGAATGGAAATGGTGACTGGAACAAAGCTATTCCTGATTAAAGGATTGTATTGCAGGCATGTTTCCTGTATTTTTCTACAAGTAGCTCATAATATGAAAACAATAAGGTAATTACAATAAAATAAGAATATTAAAAAAAAGCTTCTCTTGGAACAGAATGACTGCTTGTTTATATTATTCAAGTCTTTCACTGAAACCAGAGATGCATCTGTCAGGCTTCCAAAAGGAAAAAAATCCACAAAAAAACACAAACCAAAAAAACCCTCTGGCATGCCGATCATTAAAGTGTATTGATTTTTCAGTGTCAGCGCTTCACTTTCTGGAAGTACAGCCAGATCAGAAAGCAAAGGAAGAAGAGGTGAGGTTCCACTGGAGAACTGCTGCTGCATGTAAACCACCCAGTGCCCCTATTCCTGATGGAAAGGCACCTGATGAAATCACACCGCTTCATGTTTTGTATTTCTGCAGGATAACTTTTTCTGAGGAGTTGCGCTTTACATACTGACAGGAAAACAAAGCCCTTTGACTCCGTGAAAACTCTGAGGATTTAGATACTGAGCTGAGAGTCTGTAAACCTGAAAGCACCGATTAAGGCTTTCTGTTGCTTTTACATCAATCAGATTGTGAACATAAAATTAAGCCTTTGCTTCTAGTTATCCATTTTGGGAGGAACGAGCCCTCATTTTCCATGCAAATACAGTTAACATAAGTGGCTAGTAATGACAAGTTTTACCTGCAAGCTAAGAGTCGGAAACAACATCCAGGTAAATATTTAAAGGGAAGGAAGATGGAAAAGATGGCAGTCAGATTCTCTGTTGCCACTTAATATGAGAGTAAACTGTCCTACGGCTGCATATGCACCTCACTGTCATACAGCTGTCTGTCAGAGAAAAGAATGAGTTTATGCCATGTAAGGTTTTTTGTTTTACCTTTTCTGTGAACGAGGCAGTGTAACTGTGTAGAATATACCCTGTTACTACAAAATCCGATTTTACGACTATTCGGTTTTATCGTGCAAATGCACACATACAAATACATACAGGTAAGCAGAGAGAAATTTGTCATGCAATGCGGTAAGGCATTTTTAAATTTGGGTTTTAAAACCCATGAGACAAAAATGTAAAATATTTTAATGTAAATATCGCATTTCCCAAGCTCTTGTTCTGAGTGTCATCGCGACTCCTATTTTGACTCGCGCAGTGATTGATCTGGTTTCACTGTGCAATGTATCACTGTCTCATTCAATTAGCTTTAACTGAAAATTTAAAGCCTCAAGACAATGTGAGAAAAAGGAGATCATGTGGCCTGAAAGAAGGCCAAGGCTTCCTTTATTACTACAGCTCAGCTGATTCCCTTTAAAATGTGCCTTCACCGAAGCCAGTGCCGAGCGCCAGCTTTTGCTCTCCCTTACACCAGAATAAAACTGAGATCAAGTCCTCAGTAAAACACCTGCGATGGAATTGTGCCCAGCTCCACTTGCTGCAGCAGAGACAAGGCTTTACCTCTAAAAATAAACAGACTTGATCTAAGCACACAACAGTTTTACTGCATCTGAAAAGCGGCCAGGGCTACGTTCACCATCAGCACGACCGCTTGGCGGATGATTTGTTATGTTGCAGCTCCCATAAGCAAAGAGCACAGACCCGGCTCGGTGGAGGCTCTGGCTTGCGTGTTTAGTCTTGCACTCTTTTGCTTGAGAAGTTTTGTCAGGAAGGATTTCAAGAGTCTAGGGGCCAAAGTTTCCTGCTTGTGTTTTATTTTCCTTATTTCCTTCTTAAAACCATCACCTTTCGGCTTTAACTCATCCCGTTAAAAGAAAAATTAATAAACATAGCTACTTAATTAGACAACATTAGCCTGCAGTTTTGCATTTTCACCATTAGCATAGAATCATAGGACAGTTTGGGTTGGAAGGGACCTTGAGAGGTCATCTAGTCCAACCCCCCTGCAATGAGCAGCAAGATCTTCAACTGGATCAGGTTGCTCAGAGCCCTGTCCGACATGGCCTTGAATGTTTCCGGGGACGGGGCATCTACCACCTCTCTGGGCAACCTGTTCTAGCATTTCACCAGCCTCATTGTAACAAATTTATTCTAGTCTAAATCTACCCTCTTTCAGTTTAAAAGCATTACCCCTTGTCCTATTGCAGCAGGCCCCGCTAAAAAGTTGTATCTCCGTAATGTTAAGTTGTAAGCTACAATAACTTATATCAACATTTATCTTATGAAATAGTCTGCCCTTTTGTGCCCTTTTCGGAGCATTTTTCATAGCAATTTTTAATGAGGATTCATGTAGCACATCTTGGTAGTAGTGTCAGCGCCACAGTCTATATGGGCATCTGCTGCAGCT